CTATTTGGACCTATTCATTATTATAGTTGTTCTAAATCGATTAAATTTCTATTGGAAAGGGTGATAATCAAAATCCATGTATTTTTCAGTTTTTGTTTGAGGGAGTCCCGGTGAAGCTTTGCAGTATCAGACCTTTATTCTTCTAATTTGATATTACTGACCTGACCTTTGCTGTAGCTAGTATGATCTGACTACACACAAATGTTTCTCCCTTTCTTTCCTTTTTTTTTTTTGAGAGGAAGGTTTTATTGTATTGGACCATATTCATGAAAGCATCATAAAGAGTCCACTGGCATGGGTATCCTGTTCCACACATGATCATATGTCATTGATGAAAAGTCCCTACTACAGGAGCCCAGGGACTGACACTCTTAGGTGGTTTCCATTCAACACATGAACCTGCTTACCATGTTAAGAATATGCTGTGGCAAGAAGATGGGACCTAAAAAAAAAAGAAGATGGGAGCTGCTGTCACCCAGATTAAGAAAAGCTCCCTCTAGTTACCCATTTCCACCCAAAGTCACAGAGCAGGGGGCTTAGCTTTCTGCTTCAGAGCGTCTGTATCCTTGGCTTAAGAGATGAGGCCCTCTCTACCCTGGGCATTTCCAGAGAGCCCTAGTCTTCCCTTTAGAGATATAAGAATCCTGTCCATGAAGTTCCAGTTGGGGTTGAAGAGGGAGAGGACCTCATGGATTCTTCTGTATTTGTCTCTTCATCCGTCCATTGAGTCTTCCTAAAGCCTGTAAGGCATAGGCCACAATGTCTACATTCTAGCCATGGGCAGCAGCAATACCTAAACAACACTTTTTTGATAAAGATTCAGGACCGTGTCTGTTGCATTCCAGTACTCAAGCCACAGTCACCAGGGCCTGACTGGGAGAATGCAGGCAGGCAGTCATCCTCTCCAGTCCTCCACAGCAATGCCAGGTGGAGGGGGTGGGAGGGAGAAGTGAGCAACTGTATGAAGCAGACACCACAGGGATGGCAGAGATCTGGTGGGGCAGCAGACAAAAGGAAGCCCAAGATCATGGTCTCTATCCTGTACTCAACAGGGCTGAGGAGATGAGTTGACTGGCTCCTTTCCTCACCTTCAGGATCCAGCAGCCAGTTCCTGGTCCTAACAATGAAAGAAGGTGAGGAACAATTCAGACACCCTTGACTTTGAAGAGGACATCATAGAGAACGCAGTTGAGGTCACAGTGTCCAGTTTTGTTCTTATTGTTCAGTTGTTTCTGATTTTTTTTTTGTGACTCTGTGGGCCATACCAGCCATGGGTTTGTTTTTTTTTGGCAAAGATAATAATAATGCCATTTCCTTCTCCAGTGGTCTGAGGTTAAGTGACTTGCCCAGGGTTGAGGTCTGAGTGTCCGAGGTCAGACTGAACTAGGGTCTTCCTGATTCCAGGCCCAGCTCTCTATCCACTGAGCCACCTAGCTGCCTCCTAGGCAAACAGAGGTTAAGTGACTTACCTAAGGTGACACAGCTAGTAAGTGTCTGAGGTCAGATTTTAACTTAAGTCTTTCTGACTTCAGGCCCAGCACTCTATCCACTGAGCCATCTAGCTGCCTCTAGCTTTCAGGTGAACAACAGCCAATTCTCTAGTGGTCTCTAATACTTTTTGCAAAAAGCTATTGACATTGAGGTTCTAGTGGAGTCTGCGAAGGGGTCCCTCTAGATCAAGGTTGTGGCTTCTTTCTCCTTCCCCTTCTGCTGCCAAGGGTTACTCCAAGCAGTCTGTGTCCTGGGATTGTCTTCCTCTCTCCTACCTGCTCCTCTAGCTCCTGAAGGCAGACTGCTGCTACAGAATAGTCAGGAATGCTTTTTCTTGGTCCGTTTACATCAAATTCCCCTGAGATACTCATCATAAGATGATGCTGGCACTGGTGCTTCTGTAGTTGCCTCTTACTACAAATGAACTCCAGTGCTGGAGGAGGGTTGGACTCTCTACTCCAAGAGCCCAGAGGAGGCCTCTCATACCTGGATTAAAGATGCAGGGCCATTTGTCCTCTCGCCAAGGCCAAAGTCAAAGTGGGATTGGGAAGGTGATGGTGATGGTCTAGTTACCACCTCCACCGAAGTAGACATAGTAACAACAAAGGCAGGAATAGGCGATGGGAAGCAGGTGAGGGCAGCTGAAAGGAAGAAGGCAGGTCAGCCCCAGGCCCTGGCTCCCTCAGTCAGTCAGTTAGTAGTCCTGGGTTCTACCAAGGAAGGGAGGGAATATTAGCTGCAGGGGTTAGGGTGGGTAGATTGGCCATCTCCAGGTTGGTGACTACAGTCAAGGGTTCTGAAAATCCATGCCCTCTGGGGTTTCAGTGGAGACTGTGAAGGAGTGGTTAGAACAAACCCTCATTTATCTTTGGGGGGGAGGTGGTCCAGTGGTCCCTAGGCCTGCCCCCATCCCTGCTCACCTGGCTGACTGCCCTACCGAAGATGGAACTGTGACTTCACAAAAATGATTCTATTACAACTTCCATATCAGTAATATCTAATGACTTTCACATTTTTTCATGAAGAAATTATCCATGATTGATAGCCACGAGGCTTCTAAGTAGTCTAGAAACCTCTGTTCTCTTTTGTTTCTTAAACTTGAACCACATCTTCCGGCATTCTTTTCATCTTCTGCCTATGTCACTGAATTAATAAAGTAGCCAAGTGAATATATGACTTATTTTGGAAGCCATTGTTAAATTTGTTTTATAATTTCTCTATTTTATCCTATGTGATGGATGTTGCCACGTTCATTGGTGGTCTTTTTATTTGTTCTCATCCTGGTCATTACAAGATGAGATAATCAATCATCCCATGAAATTTTGTTATAGGAGAACCTATGAACTTCTCTTTTATCTACAACTTTCATTTGTCTTCTTGGTTAATTTATCAGTCAGTTAATAAATATTTATTGTCTACTCTGTGCTAGGCACTGTGTTAAAAGCTGGGAATACAAAACAAGGTAAAAGAAAGTCCCTGCTCTATGTCAATATTGATGTGGTTTATTTTTTTCTTGTAATATGTCAATTTGTTCATTGGACAAAGAGCTGATATTTAGACTAATTATAAAATTGTTTATTTAGTCTGCTTAAAAATGGTATGGTTTTCAAACCTCCTGTCCCTTTTCCTGGTATTCCACCACTATCACTGTGGAAGTAGGTCACACAGGATTCAGGAATATGTAAAAAAATTTTTTTTTGTTTCATGAGTTGTCTGGGCCAAAGAATTTCTCCCCTAGTATTAGCCACCCTGGAGCCTCGTGAGCCTGTCTCTATACTTGGCCTTTCCAGCTTTGTAGCCCCTTCCAGAACACACACTCTGCTGGAATAGCTGTCTAGGGTAATCTTTGCCCTGTGATGAAGAGGGGAGAGTAGGTTTTGATACAATACTTCTCCCTCTTTGGTCCTACCGGTGTGACAGAAAAAAGACAAGACCTGGAAAATTGGGTAGTCCATTTGTAGCATCAGGAAATGTATTAGAAGAAACCATAGAGAAGACTACAGAAAACATACAGATGTGTGTAAAAGAACACAGGAGACTGAAAACTGGGAGACATTTACTTTAGTTTACAGTTTGCTGTCCAATGCAAGGATAAACTGGTATTAATTAAAACCTTTACACAAAAGTTATAGTTAACAAAGAATCCTGATAAAATGTCAGCAAGCATCATGTCATCATTACCAAACAGAGCCATGTCACATAGCACATATATGGATAAGCACTTAATAAATACTGCTGGAGTGTTTGTCCTATCTTTGCCAGCAGGTTTATGAGTCTGATTACATTTCCAGTGTCTCTCATACTTCCTCCTTTTTCAGATGCACAAAAGATTTCTGTAAAGATGGTTTTGGTTTTATTGCTGGTAGCAGCACAAACCATTCAGCATGCCTAGTATAAACTTAAAGGGTTTGACTTTGAAGTAAGTTATAAAACAAAAGCAGGCATATATTTCTCTAATATAAAATGTCTTTAGAGCTTTGGGATTTTTTCCCTAAGTGTGGGAATTTCCTCAGAAGTTATTAAAACACACAGACACACAAAGTCTTTTTTCTGGAATTTTTTTTCTTTTGCTAATCCAGTTCTGTCATGAAATTTTCCTGCTGTTGCAAACGAATTCTGGTCCTTTACTTAATGGCCCCTGCCAGAGCTGAAGAGAAAAACCACCTTCTACGGTCTCCCACAACACCCCGCCCCCACTTTCCTCCACTTCCTCCTGGAATACCCACTGCAGTATTTTATTGCAGGGTCTGCTGAGAGAGGTTTTACATTCAAACTTGAGTAGGAGATTTCGTAATACAATTCCAAGAGCCAGGGCTCAGTAGTTAGAAGATGTAGGTTAGAATCTTGACCATGTCACTTGAGACCTGGTGACCTTGGACACCTTGACCTTTATGGACTTTCATCTGTAAAACGCTGAGGTTAGACGAGATAACCTCAAAAAATGTTTCCTGATCTAAATCTGTCATCTTATGAAATCATTTGTCTGGCTTATAACCTAACAGCCATTCATAACTTCAAGAGAACTAGCAACAGGCACCATTTTGAGAATGGCTTGTGATTTCAGTGCATACAGGAAGGCCTTTAACTACCGGGACATGAGGCACCATAACTAGGAATCCCCTATCTCTTAGTCCCAGGTGAATTTGGACTACGAGGAAAGGCAAGAGAAGTATGGCCGTTTTTACCCTTTCCAGGATGGGTTGTAGCCCGTTCTCTTTCAGGGAGCACAATCTTCAAACTATTGCTCTACCAAAAAGGGATTTGCCCTCTTTGTGATGGGAGAACACTGGCATAAGCAAGGTTGCTCCAAAGGGGTGGGGTTAGGGTGAAATGGGGGTGGTCTCTGGCACTGGCTCTGGGGTGTGTTAACGCATGTGCAAGTAAAACAGAAACATACACACCCCTCCCATACTTTGGAGCACCCGGGAAGAGACTTAGAACCTGCAGGAGGGAGGGGATGGTAACTCGCTGGAGAGGGAGTCCAAGCTCCCCGGAGAACACGGCCACCACCTGGGGGTGGGAGAGGGAGTGCTCCCCGAACTCTCAAACCCAGCTTAGGGAGTGGGTCCATAGGGTAGGGAGGAAAGAGTTCCAAGAGCCAGTCTCTCCGGGGGAGGGGGCCTCGGAACGCTCAGACGAGGTGGGGGAGGGGAGGAGCATTGAACGCTCAGGCCCAGCTGGAGGGTTAGGGGGCGGAGTTCGAACCCTCCCATACAGCCTGGAAGCCCCGCACAAAACAGTGGGGGTGGGGGATGGAGTAGAACACTGAGTGCCCACAGCCTATACTGGCCCTGGGGTGTAGAGACCGGGCCCCTCCTCCGTGCCCACCATGCCTCTCCGCTACTGTCTCCGTGTTTTTTCCAGGTGGATTAGATTTCCAGCTGCTCGGAGAGGTCGGTGATTGGCAGTTCTCCGCGGAGCAGCCGTCCCCGCCCCCTCCCCAGCCCTGCCCCCGGCCCCGGTTCCTCGGCTCCTCCCACCTCCATCCTCCTCCTTGGTGGTGGAGTAGGTGCTCGAGTCTGGGTGGCGGGTAGTTCCCGCTCTGGCTCTATGCGCCCGCCTCGGGGTCTCATTCAGAAAAAAAAGAAAAAGAAAAAGACGGGTGGGTAGGAGGCAAGTGCGGCTGCCGAGGGGAACCGGAGAAGCGGCGGCGACCCCGGCCACCGAGAGTCCAGCGGGGAGGAGGCGAGAGCCGCCGCGGCGTGTCCAGACCGCCGCCCGCCGAGGCTCGGGGGCTGAGCGGGGAGGGAGGACGAGTGGCCCCGAGCCCGCGCTCTCGGGCTAGCAGCCCCAGGCCCGCTGCGGCCAGGGCGGGCTCCGCGGCGGCCGGCGCCGGGGCTTCCCTTTGTCCGGGCGGGCGTCGCTGGGGCGAGGGAAGCCGCAGGCTCGGGCGGCCGCAGGGGGCGGCGGCGTCGGCGGCCGGGTTCCCGGGGTCGCGCTCGGCTGCCTTCCTCCTTCCCCCTCTTCCCGGGTCGCCGGTGGCGGCGGCTGGCCCCAGCCCGTGCCCCCTGTTCTTGTGCCGGCAGAGGCGATGCCGGACCAGATCTCCGTATCGGAATTCGTGGCTGAGACCCATGAGGATTACAAAGCTCCCACCGCCTCCAGCTTCACCACCCGCACCACCCAGTGCCGGAATACGGTGGCGGCCATCGAGGAGGTAAGGCGCGGGCGCTCCCGAGCGGGCCGGGGTCCTCCCCCGGGGCTGCCTGCGGCACGACCCCGGGCCGAGCTGGGCGGCGGCGGCGCGGAAGCCCTGGGGCGGCCGTCCTCCTCCTCCTTCTCCTCCTCCTCCCCTGCCTCCCTCCCGCGGGCTCCATCGGCGCGGCTCGGATGCGCTCTGGGGACCACGGCCCGCACCCCCCTCTCTCTCCCTTGCCTCCTACCAGCAGGGAGCCTTGCCTCTCCTTCCCCACTCTGGAGCTCAGCTCTCCTCCGGGAATGCCTTCCCGCGCGCTCGTCCGCCGGAGAGAAGTCTCGGGATTTGGACTGTTGAGACCTGGGTTCGAATTCTGATCCTGCATCTATTTGATCTAGGGCCCCCCCTCCCCCTTCCGCCTTGCGCTTTCCCTGGCCTTAGTTTCCTCCTCTGTAAGACGAAGGTGTCCTTTTGATGCTCTCTGAGCCCCGTTCCAGTGCTAAAAATCTTTGGACTCCCGGAGTTATGCAGAAATTGGTCCTATACCCCCCACACACACCCTCGTCCCCCCTCTATCCAAAGGAAAAGTTTCTATTCAGAATCCAGAAGCAGCAGGGTTAATACTGTAGGGAACAGAAGCTCTTTGTTCCCAGTGTAGGTTGGTCTTAGGAGATCTGTTATTGATTGTTGGCTTTTTAGTCTTAATTTTTTTTTTTAAATCCCATTCCTCTTTACCCTTTGCTTTGTTTCCTCTCCGACCAGCCCAACTTTTACCCCGGACCAAAGTGACGTCTGGCTGTAAGGAACCTGCCTTCCTGAGCTGCTGCTTTTCCACCTTCTTGATCTTCGAGATTTGCCTGAAGCTCTTTGGTCCGGAAGTTTTGGGTTTCCCAGGGCCACCTTTTAGAAAAAGGAACAATTTCCGAAACTTCCTCTTATAACCTGCCTTGCGTTTGTCATTTGTTACATGGGGTAACCTTCAAGAGTTAACAGCCTTGTTCTGGAGGACCCAGTTTGGGTTTGTCATCTACTTTCCCTGCTATGAATCCCCTCCCCCATGACTCCTGAACTCTCCTTGGCATCTCAGAATCTGGTTAGACAGGGATTGAACCGCGAATGTAAGTAAACTCAGCAGATCAGTGTTAGACTGGGTTCCTTGAGATCGTGGACTGTTTTTTTGCCTTTTTTTATATTATCAGCGCTGGCTGGCATATAATAATAAATGCTGAACAAATGTTAGTTGTCTTACGGTACCGTTTGTTAGAGGGGGCCGGAAAATGTAGTCACATTATTAGATGGTTGTGTACCTTTATGTACATTGTAAGGTGTATGTGTGCATATATGTGTGTATATATATATATACATATACATAGAGAATAATAGTTTAGGGCAAGAGGATCCTTAGATGTAACACTCAGTAAGTCACAGACTGAAAGCTGTGAAAGGACCTCAGAAATCACCAGCTAGATTAACTCTCTCATTTTGCAGGTGAGTGGAGTATACTGGAAAAGGGGGAAATAATTTGCCAAGGTCACCCGGGAAGTTAAGCAGAGTTCATGGCTGAACTTCATCCAGTTCTGGTCCTCTGATTCTAAAGCCAGTGATCCGCAATAACGCACATCTTCGATCACCAAGAACCTGTGTTTTACCTACCCAGGGTCCTCTGGAAACTATACTACCTTTCTTAATAAGTACAAAATAAATGCTGCTAAGTTAGACATACTGGTATAGTTAATTGTCCTAAAGAGCTTTGAAGAGCAATATGAAGTTACAGACCTCATAATAAAATACGAAAAGTGAGGAAAGTTTTAGATCAGACTGAGCTAACTTGCAGACTGGTTGGGGTTAGATTACAATTAAGAGTATGAACACAGGCTGCTTTTGGCTCTTTGTTTATTTACACAGCCAGTTTAACTTCTAGCCACACAAATATAGAGATCCCAGAATTCTTTGTGCAGTTTTAAGTGGTTAAAGCTTAATCCTTTTGATTGAATACCTGCAAGACCACACATTAAAGCTATAGTAACATACCAATAGGTGGAGTTTATGGGTTAAAACTGCTCCAAGGCTTTGGGGACATCCTGTATGGGAATACTGAATCATCTTGGAAACTCCACTTATTGAAAGTATGTTGCTGTAGCTTTAATGTTTTGGCTTGTAGGTATTTTAGTAAAATTTGGAAAAGTAATATAGTAGTTGCCAAACAGTCTTTGAGTACCCTCATTATTTCCTCCAGCTTCTTGGAGTGAAGAAACCCAGCAACGATTTACTTAAATGTAATGGAGCATCTTTCTTTTTCTAAACTGAGACAATTTTTGCCTGTTTAAAAAAAAAAGCCCCTTAAGACAGTTGGAATTTTGATGGGAAGCATATTTAGATGAACATTTTGTATAGAGCCTCATATTTGATTTTCAGAGGTCATTCAGTATTCCTATCCAGGGTGTCCCAAAAGTTTCAGTGCAGTGTAAAGTGATTAAAACTTAAAACTACATCAAGACTTTTGGGACATCCTGAATAGGAATATTGAATCAACACCTTGGAAATGTCTTATTGATATGTTGCTATAGCTTTAATATTTTGGCTTGCAGGTATTTTAGAAAAGTTGGTGGAGCAATAGTACCCTCATTAATTCCTCTAGCCTCTTGGGCAAACCATCTGTAGCTAGTGACTGAGTGAAGAAACCCAGAAATGATTTACTCAGTAGAGTATTTTTCTCTTTCTAAATTGAGTCGATTTTTGCTCGTTTAAATTTTAAAAAATCCACCGAAGATGTTTGGCATTATGATAGGAAGGATATTTAGATGAACTTTTTGTATAGAACTGCATATTTGATTTTAAAAGGTCCTCAGAACCTCAAAGGTAATCTTGTCCAGTTCTCTTCCCTCCAGTCATTTTATAGATTTGGAAACTGAGGCCTAGTTGAATTAAAAAACTTGCCCCAACATCATATGGTTAATTGGTGTCAAAGCCTTCACTAGAAGAATGTTAATGTTATTTTTTAAGTCAGATTTTAAAAGTTCATCAGCATAGGAACTCAGTGTATTAACCCTCTTCATTTGTAATTTATAGTCTTAGAGATAGAGTTGCCTGTGTCATTGAGAAGTTAAGTGACTTGCCTATAGTCATGAGGTATTTGTGTCAGAAGTAGACTTTGAACCCAAATTCTCCTGACTCCAAGTCTAGCCCTCAGTCTTGGGCACCATACTGTCTCCCTTTTGTAAGATCATGGAGCCAATGCTAGAAGGGTCTCTGAAGCTATCTAGTCAAACCTTTTCTCTTTAACATATGAGGAAACTGCAACTCAGGGATGTTAAGTGGCCTGACCAAAGTTGAACAGGTACTAAATGTCAGAGTTGAGATTTGAACTGAGGCCCTTTGATTACAGAGCTAGGGTTCCTTTCACTGTACCAGGCTACCACCATCTTTCCCCCTAAATCTTCCCCTTCTTCCTACCTTCCCTATTGCTATAGAGGGCAACACCATCCTCCCAGTCCTTCAGGCTCATAGCCTAGGAGTCATCCTGGGCTCCTCACTATCTTTCATCTCACCTATCAAGTCTGTTGTCAAGGACTGCCAGTTTCACCTTAGCAACATAATGTCTCTCAAGTATGCCCCCTTCTCTTCTCTGACACAGCCACCACTCTAATACAGATCCTTATGCCTGGACTATTGTAATAGCCTATTGGTGGGTTTGTCTATATTAAGTCTCTCCCCACTCCAATCCAGTCACTAAAGTGATTTTCCCAAGGCACAGGTCTGACCATGCTACCCTCCTATTCAATAAATGTCAGTGGCTCCCTGGTGCCTCCAGGATCAAATACAAAATGCTCTGTTTGGCATTCAGAACTCTTCATAACCTAGTCCCCTCCTATCTTTCCAGTTTTCTTACACTTTACTCCTTGCCACATGCTCTTTGATCCAGTGACACTGGCCTTCAGGCTGTTCTGGGAACAAGACAGTCCATCTCTCTGCTCTAGGCATTCTCTGGCGGTCCCCCAGGCCTACAGTGCTGTCCTTCCTCTGCCTCTATCTGCTTACCTACCTGGCTTCTTTAAGTCCTAACTAAAATCCCATCTTTTAAAGGAAGCCTTCCCCAACCCCTCATAATTTTAGTGCCTTTCCTCTCTTGATTATTTCCTGTTTATCCTATACATGGCTTTCCTAGTATATATTTGTTTGCATCTTCTCTTCATGTTAGATTGTAAGCTCCTTTAGGGCAGGGACTGTCTTTTTGCCTCTTTTTGTATTCCAGCTCTTAAAAGAGTACCTAACACATAGTAGGCACTTAATAAATGTTTGTTGACTGCTTCCCTTTCCTTAAGCTTTTGAAAAATGTATCTTTAAATTTATAGCTCTTTCTTTTACCTCATTTCCCCTCTACTTTCCATAACTGTCATAGACTTTGGAAAGTCAGTGTAGTAAACATTATCATTAAATTTGGCATACTCATGTCTGATTAATTTCAGTTCAACAGTTAAAACATCTTAAAATCCAAAGCTGTGTTTGAGGCATGGTTAGGAGATTACCTCTAATCTCAGCAATCAGCTGATTACAAAGCTACGGGATTTTAGTAAAAAATTTATTAAACTAAGAGCTTGCTCTAGATTTCTTGCTTTGTGTCATTTAAACATAATGGCTTATGCCTATTGGTGCAGAGGTATGTGGGGGGTAGGTCTTTCCTTCCAATACTAGTTCCAGTATATGAAAGATTGAATTGTACAAAATGCAGTGTATTGTGTTTGCAAAAAGATCTTCATTGTGGATTTCCTTAAGATGCCTAGTTTCTTTTTTCTTTTTTTTTTTTATAAGGCAATTGGGGTTAAGTGACTTGCCCAGAGTCACGCAGCTAGTGAGTGTTATGTATCTTGAGGCTGGATTTGAACTTAGGTGCTCCTGACTCCAGAGCCAGTGCTCTATCCACTTCGACACCTAGCTGGCCCACCTAGTTTCTTACTAAACTAGATTCAAGTCCTTGTTCTGCTACTTACTAGCTGTGTAACTCATGGGCAAGTCACTTGCCC